TCTACTGGTGTATGGCCAGGGTAAGGCCAACTAAAGCATCAGCATGTTTTTGGTTCATAGTAGAAAACATTGTACCTGACGGATATCCACACAAACATGGGGAAAAGGTACAAATGGTTTATAGATATGAGGATAGTGTTCAGAAATAAAACTCCTAAAGGCAACTCTAAAAGGACGATAATATTCACGAGACGCCAAAATTCACGGAGACGTATCTCAGGAACAGTGTTATTGTGAGTGGTGGGTTTGTATAAGAACTTTACTGTAAATGTCCGTTGTCACTTTTTTTCCTTTGAGAGATGTAATATATGGCAATTACTAATGTTGGATTTTATTGCTTATTTATGTGTGTAGTTCTATAATCACTTACAGGTAATGAATGTCATATATATACACTAATAACATGTCTGTATTGATAATTGTGCCTTGGCTTTCACATGTCTGAATTCTAATATACTTGAAGAAAACCATTAAAGTTATATACTGATTCCTTATCTGTCTTGGTGTCTTTCTAATCACTAATATTGACATTGGTTATAAGACAGAATCTTCTCTAAGAAATGAGAAAATCCTTCCAGTTTCACTGGCAGTGTATGAACAGACCACTCAGTTCAACTGAAGACCCTCGCTGTAGGTAGGGTTCATAGATTACAATATAAATACTTAGATTTCCACCGGGGCATGTTCTAAATCCTTACTATATTTTAGGTTTGACACTTCTGGGTGTGTCCAATATCTGGTCCCTCATCGCGTACCATGGTTCCTTCCACAGGCTGCTACATCAACATAGGACACAATTCAGGAACTGACTGATCATTCTTCAGAACAGACTCTTATTAATTATTATTCGCAGGTAGGCATGCACCGATACCGGTTTTTCGGTATCTAGTACGGGTACTGCTATTTTTTTTCCTAGTACTCGCCGATACCGAATACCGATACTGGAAGTCCCATTAGGGAAGCCGGGCGACTTGTAATGACTCGCCATCTGGCTTCCTGATTAGCCAGGAAGCGTGTAATTACTCGCCGCCCAGCTTCCCGATCAGCGGGGAAGCCGTCTCCATGCCCCCCCGAAGCATGGAAATGGCTTTCTGGCCAATCAGGAAGCCGGGGGGTGGGTAATGACTCACCGCCTGGCTTACTCATTGGCCAGCTTCTCAACCAATTACATGGTGCCCGGTTCCCGAGTCATTGCACAGTGCTCGGTTTCCGGATTGGCCGGAAAGCTAGCTCCATGCTCCCTCGTCACCAGGTGACGAGGGAGGATGAAGCCAGCTTTCTGACCAACTAGGAAGCCGGGTGGCGAGTCATTACATGTCACCCGGCTTCCCTAATGAGACTTCTGGTATCGGTATCGGCAAGTACGGGAACAAAAATATCTGTACATGTACTCGATACCGAAAAACCGGTATCATGCGTACCTGCGAATAATAATTAATAAGAGTTTGTTCTGAAGAATGATCATTCAGTTTCTGAATTGTGTCCTATGTTGATGTAGGAGCCTGTGGGAGGAATTAGGAGGAATCATTACACACCACCATGCTTCCTAATTGGCCGGGAAGACGGCTCCATGCTCCCTCGTCACCAATCAGGAAGACGGAGTGAGTCATTACCCGCCCCCCCGGCTTTCTGATTGGCCGAGAAGCCAACTCCATGCTCCGTGTGACGTGCATGGAGGCCGGACAGTGTGTCATGACTTACTGCCCGGCTTTCTGATACCGGAAGTTCCAGTATCGGGAAAGCCATCTGGAGCATTACAAGTACTCGCCCAAATACTCGGTATCGGTGCATCCCTATTCGCAGGTTAAGCAAATAACTGGAGAATCCAATGGAAGACAGTAAGACATTATAGCTTTATGGGAAGGTACAGAGACACAGAAGAGTACGTAAAAAATGTCACCAATGGGTGGTTCACCTACCAGTGCCCAGCTATAGCCGCATTGTATGTTGTGGTTGAAGTTGGCATTATGAGGGGAATGTTTGACATCTTAATGTAAGTTTACAGTACAAAAAAAAATGTATTTATCGCGTAATTAATTGCCATGTACTGTACTGTAGAGGAAAATGCAATGCTTTGCTTGAAGCTCCATGCAGCTGTTCACTTGATGCGGTCACTGAACACTTCACACAGAGCCTGGAGTGCACATGGAACGTTGCCCAGTACACTGTACACCTGGCTCTGAAGTGTGTTATGTGAATGACACTTCAATCACTCCATGGGGCCTTTTACAGAACGTACATGGCTTAGAAAATGACAGTTTTCTGGCAGCATCTGCTCTACATTTCCCATTGTGTCTGAGCAGCAGAGCTTATCATCACTGGCATTTTCAACGAGCCCTATGGTAACAGCACGGGTCACTGATATAGCCCTTTAGGGTTACAACATTGCAAAAATCTGAAGGATATGTAAAGCAACACAAATAGTTTATGCTGCATTTATAGTGTTCCTAAAGCCAAAATTGTTTTGTTTTGGCAGGGTGGGCTTAAACCTCTGTCTGGTCTTTTTATTTTTTACCATCTATGTACCATTAAGGAGATTTTACCTCACTTTTCGTCCCCTAGATTAAACAGGATGTGAAAGGAAATCTCTACAAGTGACAGGACTACTCTCTTAAATAAGTGTCATGATAACAATTGTTCCTATTTGATGACTTCCGTTCTGGTGACAAATAAGAATTTCAGGTTTTTTCAACACTTTTAATCCCAGTGACAGTGGTTACCAGGGTAAAGAGAAGGGGGGGCGCATAGAAAGCAATAAAAGCCCTGCCTGGTTTATATTGCTAACATTCAACATCTTATACCCACTATTACAATAGATGGTGTACAGCCAATGGTAGTGAATCCAACATCAAAGAGAAAGCCAGCACCCCTTAAACACTATCAGGGTTATTCACAAAAGGGTGAAGAGTTTGGAGAAGGCAGGAGAAGTGAACAATCTAGGACAACTTAGCTGAACTGGAAAGTGAGCTGAATTAGCAAATTTTTCCAAATCAGCTATTTTGGCCTAGATAGTTCACTTCTCCAAACTCTTCACCCTTTTGTGAATAACCCTGTATGTATGAAAAACTGAGGTGTTAGTTGCATTTATTTGCAAATCTACATGGAAGCTACACTGTCTCGTCAAGACCCCTCTGTATAGTGTGGTCCCTAACTCTAATATAGTGTTTACAGAGTGCTGCCCATTTCTTTCATTTGGATTCATATGGTGCCACCATTGGCCGCACACCCTTCTATACTGATAGTGGGGGGACAGGATGTTTAATAGTTACTTTGACCGTCACCCCCAAAATATCTACACTACACTCACTGGGACATTCATGCACAGTGGTGAACTTGTTCGGTGACTAGCTGGTAAGTGTGCGAGAAACATGCACCTTGCTTTAAAAATCTGGGTATTGATTGCTTAGATTAATCAGAGGTCTTCTACATCTTTAAGGAGGAACTGGTGACCTCCAGCCATACCGGCCTTTAACCTATTTCTTGCTGTGTATGTCCCAGGATGGAAGATCTGTTAAATTAGAGTTAAGGACCACACTACACAGCAGGGCTTTGATGAGGCAGTGTGGCTTCCACTTCCTTGGCTTATATCCGATCCCCATAATCTCCGTAATCCATTTGATGACAGCCCCTGTTACGGTTTCTGTGTTAGAAAGTCTACTTAAATTAAGACTTCAGCCAAAACAACAATGACCAGCAAAGGAGGTGTCTTCCTCTAAATGGTGCATGGAGCATGTTTGTGTAAGTGGATATCAGTATTTTCACAACTAGTTCTCTGCCTGACATACACATGCCGTACATCATCCCGCAGGAATCTCATGATCCCTAAGTTTATACACTACTCTAATGTGAGATCAGGCCCTCTAGTAATTCAGGACAGGCCCTGGCAGAAGTACATGGCTAATTCTAGAACTATTTCATGGCAGTGTGCTGGGAGGTAATGTAATCATTGCACCTCGAGTTTATGTGTAATGGATACTGGCGGCCACACGTATAAAAAATCTTAATGTTATCACAACCGGCGGATTTAGTGACGTGTCGTTTTAGGTTGCATCACATTTCATTCATATTCTCTTAAATTAGAGCCTGGTGTTTGTATCTGAGTACTGGACATGATACATGAGAATCCTACCGCACTCCGTACTGGCAGGGGGGGGTAACTAGAAATCACAGGGACCCATAGCAAAATTTTGTATGGGGCCCTGTGACTTCTAGTTATACCCCTTGCAGAGCCCACTTGAGATCCCACTCAGGCTACCTGAGGGTGACCCTGCAGAGCCCACCATCGACTCTCGATGGTGGGCTCTGCAGGGTCATCCTCAGGTGGGCTGGTCACACTCCTTATCTGTCCGCCTCCTCTTCCTGCACGATTGCTGATGGGCCCCGCCACCTCCTCCGTCACCGGGCCCCGCCTCTGCTGCCGACCACGGGCCCCGCCTCCCCCTCCACTGCCGGGTCATAAATCTTCAGAAAGTGATCATTTTATTGATGCACACACATCTTGTCATATTGAAACATTTCTTGGCCACTCAAGGTCCCTTCCTCCATGAACATCTCCGGAGATAGAAAGCAGAAAGCATTTTAAACTTTTATCCCCTAGCAGGTTATAAAGAAGGGGTCTCTTCAACCCATATAACCCCCCCCCAATGAAGGCTGGGGATGAATTACACAAAATCCAGCTTCATCAAGGGAAGAGATTCACATCACGGAGATATACAATACCCGACATGGGGAAACACAACCAGTAATAAAAAGCTAACAAGGATCTAACCCATCTCTGCTCTAAACATTTTTGAAGCAGCCCTTGAGATTGTGTTCCAATATTTAGAAAGGGTGGAAAAAAAAGGGTAACAGCTAAGTATGCATTGCCTGAGATTACATGTATCTTGTGTGTTGAGTATTTATTAAATTGTGCATATCATTCCTTCTTTGGTGCCACCAAGACTTATTCTGCCGCATATAAAGTTGAATATTCTGAAAAATGAAATGACCGCAGTTCAAAGTTTTCCTACGATCAAAGCCAGGCATTGTCAGTAAACACCTTCCGCAGGTCATTTCGCTCTTGGTCTGTGAGTGGTAGAAGAGGGGAACGGCAGTGACCCCCATGATACCCAAACCACTCCATCGCTTGCTTCAGACCTGGGATGCCGAACCTGCGTGTCACCTAAAACAGAGAAACAGTATTTAGATTGTGCACACCTTGGACAAAAGTTTTTTTGTTTTTTTCTTATATATAATCTTTAGTTGGACATGCAGAATTACAATAAAGTATGTTCAATGCATACAGACGTGTTGAATATTTTTTTATAGTGCAATAACAAGTGGTAAGGATCGTATCAGCTGCTGTGGGGGAGTGCCACCAGCCACCCATCAAACAGTTATTAACAAAATTAAGTAAGGCAAAGAGAAACTCTAAAGTCAACAAACCAACACTCATAATGGCCAAGCTCAGGCCAGAGTCAGCAGATAATCCTAATGAAGTTTGCTTCGGGAATATGGTGATCAGTCTTCTAGCTGCATTGAGAGGGTGCAGCAGGGCACTATTCTTATAATGGCTTATAGGAATCATGGGCATGTGAAATACAAATGGAAAAGGAAAGTCTGGGATGTCAATGTTTAAAATGTGTTTGATTTGCGACCCAATGTCTTGCCAGAAGGGCCGGATCTTAGGGCACTCCCAGCAAATGTGTAAAATTTCAGTGTGGCCACAGTGTCGCCAACACAAAGGAGATACAGATAGGTAAAATAGATGCAAGTTGTGAGGGGACTTGGTACCAACGGGTCAACAGTTAATAACAAGTTTCTTGCGTCCTAGCATCTATAGAGGATTTGTGTGTGAAATGTAAGAGATGGTTTAGCTGGTCTTCTGAGAATTTGCATCCTAGATCTCTCTCCCGTTCCCTAACAAAGGTTATCCTCAGACAACATTGACCAAAGCATCTTATAGAAAAGAGTCATGATTTTACAAGATGGTTCTGCACATAAAGATTCAAATAGCGTGAGGGACACCATATGTTGAAGATTAGATGCTGTGGTAGAAAAGATATGTTGCGATTGCTGATCTCTCCAGTCATTCATAAGAAAACTCCCATAACAGTCCCTAAATTCCCCCAAAAACATCAAACAACCCTGTCAGATACATTTACTGCATCCAAAATCAACCTGTAGAGAAGGAAAGGTGCTCACCTGGAGGGAACCACAGAAAACCTTCTGATAACAGGGATAATGGTGGGGCCAACACACTTCTATTCAGTGTATCCCATAAGTTGGGGGTATGGTGAGTCATAAGGGACATAATAGCAGACAGAACCCTACATTTTCGAGGCAGCCAGAGGGCAGAAGCCAGGTTGCTGCCCGCCATTAATTTTCCCATAGGCACCAATGACTCGGAGGACACATGAAAATACCAGCTCAGGATTCTCTGATGTTAAATTGCTTTATAGTAAAGATGGACATCAGGTAACCCTAGCCTCCCCCCCCCGCCCCCCCCATGTCATGTATATCATGTTCCAGACCAGACCAGAAAAATACTGCAGGTCTCATTTTATCTGGTCTGAAATGCAGACCATGGTATGAACCTGCCCTTAAACAATTCTTGTTAGGTGGTATTATTTTCAGGGGGTCATGCTCATCAACCAATTTGAGCAGCCGCACTGCCATGTTCTGTCAATTAATTACAGTCAGTCATATCCTAAAAATACCCCAGAAACATTGATGAGAGTGTCTTATGATTGAGAAATGTGGTTAAAGGTTCACCCGGGTACATTATGTCAATGCTCTCGTCATGTCAATGTCATTATGGTGGCCGTGGCATAACTCCTTCTGCAACAACAGCTCCTGTTAAACTAACAGCTGCTCTTCAATGCCAACAAAGCCATGTATGGCTGGTTACATTTATTGCTTACATGGATATTTTAAGAGACGCATACACCGGGCTACACGAGTTTAAATGCACATACACCTGGGAGAAATATAATCACCACAAACACCTTTAAGCCCGAATTATAACTTGTTCCTATATGAAAAAGGTATTATCTGCAAGAAAAACTAAGGCTGGGTTCACACCTAGGCGATTCTCGGTAAAAAAAACGCGCAACAAACGTGCGTTTCCGAGGGCTACTTGGCTGTATCCCAATGGAAACACGCGACAAAAACGCCCCAAAGAAGCTCCTGTACTTCTTTGGGCGTAGGGCGTTTTGTAGCGCGTTCATATGGCCTGTAATACGCCCAGGTGTGAACCATACCCATAGGAAATAATGGGATTTGGGTGTTTGAGCGTTTTGCAGAGCGTTCGAACGCGCTACAAAACGCACAGGTGTGAACCAGGCCTAAACCTAACTTACAACTTGGTTTGTGTAACAGCAAATAACACTTTACAGGTGTATAAAAATTGCTGATCAGTCGGCTGAAATATAATTTTGGTCCCAGGAACAGACATTTGGACATCTTGCCAATAATCCTAATGAGAGGCACAGCAGGCATTCACAGGGAAGCATAACGGAGGACAGTAGGTGGTCCCTAGCTCCAAAAGAAAATGTAAATACAACGCTAAATTTATCAAGTTTTATGTGGATATTGTAATTTACAAACATTAATGCCAATAGTAGATCATATATTACAATCTTGTCCGCAAACCTATAATGCATTCATATCCAGACACTGAAATGCACCAGATAAATGTGAACGATGTCACCAGCACACCGAAGATCCTTTAGAAATCACCAAATGCTCATTTTATTGAACAAGTTGTCAGAATGGATACAAGCGCTTTGGGACCTCGCAGGGTGCCTTCATCAGGCTTCAGCATGCTTGTATCCATTCACTTGTTCAATAAAATGAGCAATTGGTGATTTCTAAAGGATCTTCAGTGTGCTGGTGACATCTTTCACATTTATCTTATGGATATAGTGGTGCCATCCGCAGTCATTACAAGCACCCTTCCCATTGCATGGGATCTCCGGTAAGGAGTGCGACAAGAACCTTTCTACTTATACTGAAATGCACCAGTCGCCCCTTTGCACACACCAATGTTATCTAGGGCTGCAACCAACTAATCAATAATAATTGATGAGAATAGTTGGTTGGATCCCCTACCTCTCTCCTCCACGCTGGGAGGAGGGCACAACAAGCAATGGGTGGGTGCAATAGCTAGCCTGCTATTTGCTATTGCAATTTTGAAATGGCCAATAGCATGCTGGCTATTGCACCAGCCCACTACCTGCTGTATTTACATTCAGGTGCCGTCTGCGGAATCTTGCCACTGGCAGCTGTCATTCCCTGGCTGAAGCTATTCAGGCGCCACGTGCTTACAATACAATTATTAAAAATAAAGAAATTATAAAAGTTAGGAGAAAAGTCATTTTCGGTTTCGGCCTGACAAATTCTGCTGAGGGAGGTGTGTTGCGGTGCCATTCAGTTCAATAGCACCCCAAACGCGCCACCCACCCACAGTGTGATCGCCCGCACTGGAACGCACGGTCCTGCAATGCTGTGGGTTCCAGTGCAGTGCGATTGCAAACAATTGTGCATGCAGTTTTATTCTGAAGTAGAACTGCATTTGTGTATTTTATTTTAAATTAAGGATGGTATTTATTTATTTTTAATGATTATTCGAAAAAATTATTGGCCAACGAATCGATTATGAAAATAATCATTAGTTGCAACCCTAATGTTATCATAACCCTTCAAATCAGTGCACTGTGTCAAATTGGTCCCCAAATCGCCCCCAAAGACAATACACCACCCCACAGACAGATATTATCTTGATCCCAGTGGTCACCATTCCATCAAAGAACACATCTCGATGTTCTTCCAGCATCATGTTTGTCTTTTCCCCACACCAAATCTGTTACGTCTGTGACGGACTCCAGTACTCAGGATGAGTATGTCCGCCGCTGTATTCTTCCTTGCTCAGGAGATATTGAAAGCCGCTGATCTTTAGCTCTGTTTCCCCAGTCACTGGTCGAGACACGAGTGTAGGTTGAAATAAACTCTGATTTATTGAGCAACTGTGCAACCTTTTATACAGCAAGTGATGAGATCAGATTATAATCCCATCACCTCCCCCGACAATCTGTCTTCATAACACCACAGGGTTTCCCCTGCTAACGAGCTCCAGACAGCCATAGCAGGAGCCTGGCCAGAATGTCATTGTTCTGAGCTCCTTCAGAGAACAATGGGAGATAACGAGGGATGATGCTGACAGTCTTTTCATAACCAGGTTACACAGTATAACGCACTCAAACATAACTCAACACCAATACACCTTTAACTCATAAAACTGATCACCATGTCGTCACAACGTCCATACCTCTGTTCCATCCAAACCTTCCCTATGCCTATCCTCACCACGCATCACACCTGCAGTCTCCTCTGCACCATATCCATGTTCCATTCCACACCCAACCCAATGTGTTTTGCCCATCTCATGGCTGTGTGCTCACCCGGACTAAGCTTGAGGTCTAACTATTCAACTTGGGCAATTCTGCACCTTGCACCTTAGACTTTGTTCCTTGAAATGTGAATTGAAAAAAAGCCCAAATGTTTTATCCCCTGATCTTCTGTAATGCATAACATAGAGCAAGGACAACTGTACAAGGTGCGGTCATCAGGCTGCAATTCTTCAATATCTAAATCTGATCTCCAGCAGTTATAAAACACACAAATTAATGCAGCTCTGTATTCATTTATATTTCATTAAAGAGCAATGTAAAAAGTTAACCCTTGCACTGGGGTTTCTCCCGCACTGCAAGGGTAACTGTTCTCTCATCTCAAGGGACTCAAAAAAATATACTCCTCAGTCCTTTTCGGCAGCTAGACCTCACTAACAGCATTTTCTCCCCCAGGCTAAGGCAAACAGCCAGCTCCTTGCTGATTGGCTGGGAAGCCGGTATCCCGGCCAATCAGCATCAAGCCGACTGTACAGCCGGCTCCGTGCTGATTGGCTGAGAAGCCGTGTTTCCAGCATGGAACCGGCTTCCCGGCCAATCAGGAAGACGGTCAATCACAATCGAGCCGGCCAAACAACATGGGGCTGGCTTCCTTATTGAACGGGAGGCCGACTCCATGCCAGCGGAAGCACCGGTATCAGTACTCGTTATCGGCGGGTACTGAAAGCAAAATATCGGTACTCATACTCAATACCAAAAAAAAAGGGTATCGGTGCATCCCCAGAGACCACTGCTTCCACAAAGAGAGCAAAGGTCTTTTTCTGCAGCATATTGGCAGGGGACAGGCTTTTGTACACAGGCTATGGCTGCTTTCTAAAGAAGACGATCTGTAAGACTTTGCACCCATTTTGTTTTGAAGCACTTGGAATGTATTTAGCTGATTCATACTAAAAATTTGATTGGCCTTTAATAATCAAAAAATGTACCCAGCTGTATCCTTAGAACATTACAGTGAAACGGATCATTTTGCTTTATAAAGAATGAAAAGACAAAAAGCAACGCGACAGGAAAAAAAAAGAAGCAGTTTTTGTTTATTGCAAGTTGCAGAAGGACGTGTGCGAGGCCATCAATCAAAGTCACGTGAAGGTGGAAATTCCGAGTGACAGAACTAGCATGTAGGCAACGTGTAAATCTAGTCAACCAGTGATACATTCATCCTTTCGTGTGCCCATTAATCCCTATTATGGCTCCTTCTTATACTGCGGCAGACTGAATGACCCTGGAAGGTTTGTCATGCCTTCCTAGCGCAGGCAAAACACACCGGCTACATTATGTTACCTGGAGGGCTGCCAACAGGACAGCTGCACATCCCATTACTTAACAAAATGCCAGCTGCGATGCCAACTGGGCACCACGCTGGTTCTGGGAGAGGTCCCGTCTGGTGTTTTCTTACCCAGCATAAGTGAGATATATGATTAGAAAACCCTCTAAGGTTGTTGAAGACTTTAATCGGAAAAGTTAGAGCGGTTATAAAAACGATTCACTTGTAATTATTTGATAAGGTGAAGAGAGATGTGCTAAGTGCATGGTGTTCATGGTGAACAAGCAGCATTGCTGTGGCTGCTTTATGGTCAGATGACATCTGATTGTAGTACGTTCCTATCCTTCTTTACTCCATCATCTTTCTTTTTCCTGACTCGTTACTAGAGATGCACCGAAAACGGTATTTTGGTATCGAGTACCAATATTTTTTTTTCGGTACTCGCCAATACCGAACACCGAAGGTCCCGTTCAGGAAGCCAGGCGGCGTGTAATGACTCGCCACCTGTCTTCCTGATTAGCCGGGAAGCTGTCCCCATGCTTCTGGTCACCAGGTGATGAGAAAGCATGGAGCCGGCTTTCTGGCCAATCAGGAAGCCGGGCGCCGTCTAATGACACGGCGCCCAGCTTCCTGATTGTCCGGGAAGCCAACTTCATGCTCCTTTGTCATGAGGTGATGAGGGAGCATGAAGCAGGCTTTCAGGCCAATCATGTTTCAGGGTCTTTTCTGTTTTGTGCCTAGCTTCCTACTCCTGCAGGTGGCAGTATAACCCAGTGGTTAAGATCTTCCGATCTTCGTTGTGTCCTTCAATGAATGAAAGAGAGAAAGCAAGGCCGTGCCTCTACCAAGATGGTAGAGTTTAGAGTGTAGGTAAACCCAAATAATGGACTTTGATCCCTTTGGTCCTATAAATATACCATTGGTGGTGTTTTGTTATATCTGTTCAATAAGCGCAAAAAATACCTGTTCATCTTGCCAGAAGTCTTGAGAGCATATAACTTCCTGTGCTTAATGCTATCAATTAGCATTGTTCCTAGCTTTCTCTTTTAAGTACATAACAATTCCCCTCTATGTTATAGAGATGAGGAGAGGTGGAGGTGTTCTATAGTCCTTACAGGCTTTCTTTCTAGGGTGACAATGCTGACTCCCCATAGATACAATACAGTGAATGAGCGTTGTCACCCTAGGAGAGCAAGTGTGTTGCTGGCAGGATTACAAGGTGGGGAAAAAACACCCCGTTCACTTCCATGGGGAAGCCTACTGACATCACAGCTGCCGCTGGTATATGACCTGGAAGCACGTGGCCCCTTGCAGTGTACGTAAATGTCACAAAAGTGAGACAAAGTCCTGAAGACTCCACTTACTGCAGCGTTTGGCTCAATCAGTCTGTACTGGAGCTGTCTTGCTTCCTGCCACCGGCCGCTTACACACAGTCTTTCAAGTTCACACAGCTGGGGACCAAGGACATTAGCCAGAGCACAGACTCCTCCAACAGAACCTATGGCAAAAACAGAGAAAGACATTACAAGGGGCATTACATGGTTTGTAGTCATATATGTACAAGGAGGCAGCCATCATTGCTCCCCACAAATTCAGAATCTGCTTCCTGCTTGGTAGTGCTGCACAAAGGTCCTATGTTCCTGTTCTCTCTTAGTGACGTCTATGCGTCAGGTCTGACTGACTGAAAACAATGCGGCTGACGGCTAGACTCTCTATGGTGGGCTCTGCAGGATCACCCTCAGGTGGGCTGGTCGCACTCCTTACCTCCTCCGTCGCCGGACCCGCCTCCTTCTTCGTCACCGAGGCCGCCTCCTCCCCTGCTGCCAAGCACGGGCCCGCCTCCTCCTCCACTGCCGGTGACGTCAGAGGCTTGCGACGTTGTTAGAACAACGGGTCCAGCCTGATCCCCTGCTGCTGCTGGCTCTCATTGATTGTGGAGACGAACGCGCCGCTGCACAGATGATCTGAACAGCGGCATGTTCGTCTTCAGACGCCAGTGAAAGCCAGCAGCAGAAGATCCCATAGCAACCCAGGCGGCCCGCACGGCATCTGGCCGGGCCCCACTGTGCCCCGGGCCCCATAGCGATCGCCTGGGTCGCTATGGTGATTGTTACGCCACTGCGGCTGATCATGAAAGCTGAACACATACAGTGAAATACACTAGAGGGTGAATCTACCAATCTGAATATGTAATGCAATAATGGATATATAGTACAGCAAGCATTTAAAGCTGAACTCTCGGCAGATATAAAAAGACACAAATTAATGCAGGTTAAATGCAAGCAGTGTAAGGACCTTAGTATGACCTGGCATCAGCCTCTTGCAATCTCTGTACAGCAGAGCTGGAGTATGAGAGGAAGAAGCACATAAGCCAATCAATTTGTGTGCTGACAAGAAACATGCAGATGGGAGGAGAAAGCAGAGCTACAGAGAGATGGGCTCATCACTGCTTCGCCTTTCACTGTCCAGTTACAGGGTAGGGGTGGGTCCAGGATGACCTGGGCTAAGGGGAAGTTGAATAATGCTGGACATCAGACCAGGACATCTAGTGGCAGAAAAAAGTACTGCAGGGGAAATCTCTGAATTGAAGGTGAACATTGCAGCACAATGGGCTTTGATGGGTTATTCATGGGTATCTTATATTTGGATGGGGGTGTGCTATAAACGTAAGAACGTCACATCAAAAACGGGACACAGACACCGATGAAATATGGACAGAGGACCTAAGCCTACCCTCTCCTGTCTGAAGGCTGGAGTTTCATTTTAAAACACATGTAAAGCATCACAGCAAATAACAGAAGGCAATTTTTGGCATGCTTGGCTCTGCTCCACTTACAACACGACCACAAAATTCAGAAGCCGGTATGTACATTCCTTTGCATTCTAGAGAAAGTAGAGACAAGGGCTAGTCAGCCGTATCCCTCCCCTCAGCCGAGCTTTACATCCTCTCCCCTGATATACAACCCTGCCGTGTCATATAAGTTCTAAGCAAAGTTCATCCAGGGCAAGGCCTTTCCGTATTCACTTCAGCCTTCAGCAACTTAAAAACACAATAAAGCACATTTGCCCTCAGCTGTTCACAGTTTATCAGTGTGACCCCGGCATCAGGTAAAGTTACTTAAAGAGCATATACAGTGTACAGACCCAACATCTACTCCATGCCCAAGGAAGATTAATTGGCTCTAAAGTTTCAGCCCATGCTGCTGCTCAAAAACTGCCACTGTATGTATTTTGTTTTCAACCACATCATTTAAGGGAATGTTTTGACGACGGGGCAAAAAGGGAACTTCCATGGCTTGCTCATTTTTTTTAAAGGTGCAGGTTCCAGGGCTGTCGTCTGTCTGACCATCTGACATCACAGACCAGTCACAAGTTGGCACTGATACCTGGGACCTTTACAATTTACTTTGGTCCCGGGAGGGAAGAGATATTTGGAAAAAAGAAACACCCCCAGAATAGGCTGTCACCAGCACAAAAACAATAAACAGGGCTATTCACAAAGCTGCCAAAGGCAGCCGACAAAATAGCCGAGCCGAAGTGAACAGAGCCAAACGACGTTCAACTATTCACTCCGGCTCAGTACAGCTGGTTTCAGCCGTACATCTGCATGTTCAGCTGAGCAGAAGTGCAGAAGGAGTTCGACCCAGCCGATCCAACATCTGGATCGACTGAGCAGAAGCTCCGGCAGTTCACTCGCTGCCGTTCGCCCCTATTCTCATAGAGGTCGACACAGGGAGTGAGTGAATAGCAGCATTCGGCTCGGCTATTCTGCTCGGTACCTCCGTGGTACCAAGCAGAGAAGAAAAAAAGTGAAAAGAATGTAAAGAAATAAATAAATTGCAGTTGTTATTGTTTATCGACAGATCAGCATCCCCAGGTCATTTGGGGACGCTGAACAGTCATTACAACTGAGCGGATCCTGCCGTGAGGTCACAGCTGGCTCCCCACCCCTCCAAACTTTTTTTTTTTTTTTGATTGTGGATAAAGCGGGGAAGGGTTCCTATTGGGAAGCTTCACATGCCTGAGGAAGGGTCCCTGCATGCTCATGAAACATTGCTTCTCTATGTGGGAATCCTAGAAAAAGGAGCTTTGCACTTTGAAACAAAGTTACGGTGTGCTGGCAACATATCATGTTCCTGTTGGGAAGCTGCCACCTCACTTGCGTCAATGAGAAGAAATCTCTCCAATGCAGATAACAACAAAACGGGGTT